GAGTTGGCGGTTATTTCTGCATCCTTAACTAAAAAAAAATTATTTTTTGAATTATGACACTCTTGCAACAAAGGTGCGATACAAACATATGTATGTACAAAGTCAGCATGGCCAGGTTGGCATTTATAGCTTTTCCGGAAATAGTGATTTTTCGTTATGAAATTTTTGGTAATGTGGAGTTTAAGCGAATTTTTAATGAAAGGGTTCACTAAAATAAGAACTTAAGATCAAATTATAGCAAACAAATATCATTTGATTCACATAAATTCAATGAGGTATGCGAGGACTAAATAAGTGCTGAGATAAACATAGGGCTTATCAAAATTATACGTCACCCGCATATTGACAAGTTTTGACTATAATTTTTTTTTATTGTTTAATTTTAATTCTTTTTTTTTAAATATATACATAGTTTATTCTTTAACAGAACCGGCATAAATCCAAGCTTCAAACTTTGTGCAATATTAAAAAAAAAAACCAGAAACTTAATAGGAAATTTCGAGCTTTTTAATTTGATTTCTTAGAAAGATTTTGAATATTTATGCAATTTTGTAACTCGTAAGTTTGTATAATTGTTCACATATTCCAACAAGTTTTATACTTTTTATGAAAAAAATTACAATTAAATAATAAAAAATATTAATAGTCAAAATTTTTCAATATGTGGGAGGCTTATAGTAATTGTGTACTATATAAAGTGAACTTTAAATTTAGCATTATCTTTGGCATAAAGAACTATTTTTTAGCATATTTCGAAATTTACTTTCTCCTTTTTTTTGGGGTTGCTGGTCACACTATGCGTAGTGCAAGCACCTATATACATACACTGGCTCTAAGGAATAATCGGACAAATTTGACGACTGCCGCCGAATTAATGTAAAACAATATTGGCCACTTTATAGGCACGCGTACCGAAGCTTTCAATAGCTCTCCGTACAATTGATATACGGTTGGCACAAAATAAAGGCTTTCGCTAGCCAACACTAATATAAAATCACCACAAAACAGAACAATTTGTTTGAAATTGAGTGCACAGATCCATTTTTCCGTTAGTTTTCTACTGATTTTGACAATAAAAAGCCAGGAAATAATCAATTTTACGCACAGAAAGCTACTTCATAAAAGAAAAACACATTTTACTCGGGAATACCCGGGAAGTCTATTAGAGAGATTTAGTAGAGTACTATTAAAAATGGCAGCAAAAAGCAAAACGTTTCACGCATAGTTGAAATGTTAAATCGTGCACGAAATCAGTTCTTTATTCGACAAAAAGCTGCCAAATGGCCACGATATTATCAAACGATGCCGAATTATCGTCATCCATTTCCAAAGGTTTGGAGATAATTTGGTTTCGGCATTATGCCAACTTTGGTGAAATCTTTTCATTCAGAACTATCCTTCAGAACGGCAAAAGATATAAAAGTTTAGGTCCTTTGTGAAGATGCCATTAGAAATGTGCAAAAACATGTGTAAGTGGCAATGCAGAATTGCAAGAAAGAAACCGTTATTTGTAAATAATACATACCGGATGTGCTAGACCACCCGTTCACCCCTTATAAAATGGAGCAGAAGGTTTTTTTTTGTATTGGAAAACGCAAAAATTGGAATTACCAAGTCGAGAATTGACAATTTTTGATTGTTTCGCGAAAATCTGATTTTTGGTACTTTCAACACTTTTGAAAGGAGTCCAGTAGTTCGTTTTTGTAACTATTCCGGCTTGTTTTCGATTTAGCTTGCTAAAGCAGGGATTAAACTGATTGTACATTTTTGATCAGTGACTGTAGAGTGGGGTTCGCAATTTTTTTTATTTTTTTATTGAACTGAACTCATTCTAGGTAAAAACTTCTAGACAAAAACACTCTGCGACTGTAAAAATGTACAAAATTTTTCACATGTACTAATCGTGTGATCCCTGCTTAACTTTGTTGTTACAAATCCACACACAATTTTTATTAATAAATTTACATTGTCCTTTAAGGACTCTCTGCAAACTCCATCTCCGTGGGTGCGATGGGCGGGCGTATTCGTGGCACAAGGCAAAAACTTAGTTTAAGCGAAAACAAAGTTTGTCAGATTATTTGCTAGATTCACTGTATGTATGTACGTATGTACATACATACATACATACATGCATACCCATGTGCTCTCCAAATAGTTTTAATGGCAATTGTATGTATGCTCGGATATTTGTTTGGGGGAGTCGCGCTACACTCCCACCTAATGGTTGAGTCAGTTCAGCAAATTCATACTAGCGTTTGGGGATATAAAATATATTATAATTATATGTTAATTTTGAATCTGCTCAAAAATAAACACAACATTAATCCTCTTATACCAATGCCGAAAATATAACACCGTGCGACAAAATCCAAAAAATTTCAAAACACATGAAAAAATCAATATATCAATAAAATTGTTATTTTAATTATTTATTTTATACTAACCTAGTAAGGTCGAAATATTCGAAGCTCCAAGATTCGATTTTTGAATTTTTTAAATCGAACTTTTGTGGTACTCAAATTCGTATGAAATTAAACTATCAACATCATACGCTGTTGTCAGATGTAAGACTTTTTTAGTTCCTACATACATTTTGTTATTTTTTAAAATTGATAATTTGATACTTCAAAAGAATAGATGGTATATTTGGTAATTTTTTATTTTTATTTTTGTTTACGTCTCGGTCACTTTAATTTATATAGATGAATTTTTATTTGGTCTTTGGTTAGTATTATTTGAGAAAAAATACTACTTAATTGTATTTATTTTTGATTGTGAAGAGCGATACGGATAATTATTCACATTAGTATGCATAAGTTCAATTCAATCTCTTTTTAGATTTGGATTATCATTCTTACAAAAAAAAAACTTTGAATTTTTAGCAACAATTTTTTTTAATTCGAAAAGAATCGAATAAATCGAATTTGTACCACCAAATTTCTAATCGCATTATCGAATGGTTGAACAATGTGCGAAATTTGGAAAAAAACTTGTTTACCTTTTATTCTTTGATATTGGTCGGAAACTGGGCTCGAACCCAGACCCTGCGAAATGGTAGCGGCCAATTTTCTATACCTGTTCATACTGGAGAACCAAACAATGAATTTTTTCTAAGTAAACATCTGTGAAATTTCAAAGTCCCTTAAAATAATCCTGACTTCAGAGAGAAAATCTAAAAATGTAGCTTTACGTTTTTTTTTCATTTAGAACGAGTTTACGTTCAATGTTAGGATTGAAGATCCATTGTGGATCAATGAATCACAATCGGGTTCCGTTGCATGCTGATCAGTGATCTTACGATCTTATCTTTAAGCTTGCTCTGAGCTAATATATTCTAAAATCTGTTCAAATTCTGTTAGTTCTGTAGCTCATCTTCGTGCACACATTACAGTTATTCTCTAGGAAAAAAAATTGTATCACTTTATTTTCACAACTTCAGCCCAGTGCAAATAATTTCTATGTCTTTCTATTCTTTACACCATTCAAAATATAGTTGATCAGCGGACTCTCACTTTTATCATAAGTACACATACGTATGAAGCACAATTGCTTCATTATGAAAGCACTCTGCATCTAGTACACAGTAAATATATTCATATAGGGGAATGCTCCCCACCAGGAAAAACATGAGTTAGTATTTAGTAAAATTTGAACCAGTTCGTTCATAACTAAATCGTCTATAGTCTAGAATAGACCTAACTGATGTATTTCCTTTTTAAATTGCACTACAAATGCTTGCCATTTTGGGCCGAAACCTAGAAACTTCGCCAATATGCTGCTTTTCTTTTTTTCTGTTTTTTTCAAGGTTATGCTAGTTGTTCACACCAAGTGTAGGCAGGTCTTTAAGCACTTGATTCTTACGTTGTACTCATGGGCGACTTGTTTTCATTATCCACCCATAGGTGAAACGAATCGAGGGATCTTTTCACTGGAGCATTATCATCCACGTTTAAGACGTGCAAACGTTGAATCTTAATGCCTTTCACAGCTCGTTATTCCGTCTCCGTTGGTAGCCGTTGTCCACGCGAGCAGGACCATAGATATTGCGCAGAATAGTTCTCTCGAAAGCCTCTCTCATTGTTCGACAGCAACCACATTTCTTCGCCATACAAAAAGACGAGAATGATCATAGATTTATGTTCTGTTCGTCGATTTGCTTAAATATTTAGTATCATTTACTGTGATAATCTGGTTAGTGGTGGTCTTACCAGGTCTGAAGCCATATTGATAAGGTTTCTTTCACACGGTATCATCTATAGGATCTTAAAGGCAATATTAGGAAAGCTTACACCGCGGTAATTCGCGCAAACGGCGGGATCGCCCTTCTTATGGATTGGACAAAGTACATACGTACATAAAAGTTCGAATCCTCAGGCAAGAATTCATTAGACCAAATTGTGCTTAACTGCTGGTATAATCAGCTCTTCGCCGCCAACTTTGATATGCACAACCCATATTACGTGGGCTCCAGAGCCTTTGTTACTTTTACGCCTAAATAATTATTGCTGTTCTCATCTCGGTTTGGTAGGCGTAAGCTTTGTACTTAAACACGGGTCCGGGTTTTTCTTTATTAAACGCACTACTTACATTAGTATGTATTCTACAGCGTTACCAGATCTCATTTTCGCCTCAGCAGGAACCAGCCATGGTCTTAAAATCATTTGATTGCTGATAGAACTTTCAGCTCGTATTTTTGTCTGCCGGCATCAGCAAGCTCTCTCTGGTTCTTTCCGACGCCTTTCCTCCCTTCTCTTCCTCAAGGCTTCTTTTTTTCTGGATCGCCTTTATGGTTTTCACCGTTTCGCTGGTCACCCAGCGCCACTTTCGAGGTATTTTCCTGCAGGGTTGTTTGAGCAAATTGGCGGTTAAATTTTGCGAGCGTTATCGCGAGTATCTTAATTCATTTGTTATTTAGCATCTAGCATTTTACTATTCATACATATGTACATATGGACACATGGGTAGGGAATGAGAGGTGGTTGGCGTTGCCGCCAGTGGACGTGCTTTGTGTCGGTCAGCTGTTTTCCGCTCAGTAGCTAATAATTTGTTCGCCACTTTATCAGTTCAATTGAAACGGTATTTACAGTATATTTGGTCAGTAGAATTTTGGCAGCGTTGACGTTTTCATAACGAAATTTTGGAGTGCGTGCGTGCTCAACCGCTAAACTATTTATTTTTATGTTAAGAATTAAATTTCGGCGCATAGTTTGCCGGACAAATTAAATCTAAAGTTCTTTAGAAAAAATTACAATGAGTGGTCAATTACCAAATACAATTTGCAATGGTAAGTTTTTAATGATTATTTTAATAAGTAAAATTTTTCTTAAAATAAATTTTTTTTTTAGGTGAATTAGAAATTGTTAAAATAACTGAGGATTTGTACGACCAAGCTGTCAAGGTAAGTTAAGAAAAAATTAGGAAAATAGGACGTTCCTGAAAAGTTTTTTGATATAGAGCGTTTTCGAACTGGCTGTCGAGATAGGTCGATCTTCCACTTAGCAGTCGATATGTACATATCGCACATGATCTTCAAAGGTGACACAACACAACTCAAAATTAAACGTTCGTCAGAAAATGCGAAAAACTATTTCTTAGCACATGCTAATCATATGGGCAAGGGAGATATTACGTTAGGTTTTTTTTTAACAAATTATAACAAAAATTTTCTCCACCTTTTGTTGTGCCCTGTGTACATTTTTAGCGCATAATTTCAAAATATGCCAAATTTTGAAATGTGTCTCTTTTGAAGACGGTGTGCGATATGTATATATGTCATATAACAAAATTTCTAGAGATTTTTTTATACTCGCAGTTTTCTAAAGTGCTGAACACATTGAAGCCGACGATGTACGGGCGAAAGCTTCAAATTTGTTATCTCATTATCTAAACGCTTTGTCGATGGCAAATGAATTTTTCGAACGCGACCAAAACGGTTTTGAGAGTACCAAAAAGATTTTTTTGCAGTATTTAAAGAGAAATAGTTTTTTTCTAATTTATTATTTTTCAATAAAATCAAATTTCAAAAATTAAAAAAAATTAAATCACTGGATTAAAAAATATTTTTTCACACAGACAATTTTTCACAATGTATATATGTAAATTATTTTTATTTTTTTTTTATGACATTTTTTATAAAAATATAGTTCATACTATAACACATTACATTCTTTAATAAGATTTTTAGATTTTTTTTGAGTATGCAGTTTTGTAGCCCAATAGATTTTGAAAAAAAGTATCAAAATCATTTTCAAAGTACCAGTTTTGGTACCAAAGAACCAAAATTGGCAACGCTGGCAGCGACATCATGAATTTGTATGAGTTTGACATAAAAGTAGAGAACCTTATCTGTCGCTGGAAAAATAGAAATAGATCAAATCTGGCCACAACCACAGTCGTCGCGTAGCCCTGCCCTGCCGTCGCCAAAATAATTATCTGCATAGGAATACGTAGCTCGTCGTTTTCATTGTGGTCGGGCTGTTACTAAAATTAACGGATATATGTATATGGCTAAATGCCTAAAAAGCCTAACTTAAGGACCGTTTAGTTTGACTAGTAGAGAACAGTTCTCAGCATGGCCCACAACTGAAGCTGTTGAATACTTTCAAGACATCGTATTGTATAAACATTTTCAGACTTTTGCTTAAAAAAAAACAGGCATATGAGCCCTAACCGCCAAAATAACGTAAGCGACATTTTTTTCAAAATTTTCTTTTTGATGCAGAAATATTCCTAGAGCATCTAGATGCATTGAAAAAAATATCGCTTACGTTATTTTGGCGGTTAGGGCTCGATATGTAAGCAAATGTAAGCTTAAGGCGCCTGTAATGAATAATTTATACAAAAAAATTCAATTAGCAGAATAATTTCGAAAAATATAAAAATTAGCTTTTAATTTCGTGCTTAGGAATGCTAAATAGTACGAGCATTATTGAAATGCAAATTTGTCATGGAAAAGTTATTTGTTTGTAAAGAAAAACAATTGGGTTTCTCTTAAATACTGACGGAAAATTTAGAAAAAATATGTAAAAGTAAAACATGTGTTTTCCGCGTAGAAAGACATTGCTGTTACGACAGCCTACTTACATACATACATGGCAAGATGTATTAAATAAGGTATGATTAACAACTCAGTGGGGCACTCTTTTAAGGGACTATAACGTCAAATTATAAAAAAAAAAAACGAACGAGCAATTTTCATTTTTAAATTTGTAGGAGAGCCATCTTGAAGATTCTTGGAGCAGCTTTGCCAGTTTGGCCTTTTTACCGTCATTATAACGTTATATGATATAGTGTCGATCAAAATTTTGTAGGCCAACTCAGAACTCCACAATACGTATGTACGTAAACCGAATTTCAAGTCGATAGTCGAAAACAATGAAGTTGATATACATACATATGTACATAAGTCTGCAAGATCGGTTATATAGTGCCTCGAACCAAACTAAATTTATTAGGTCAACTCGGAACTCTATAATATATGTATATCTAAACGGAGTTTCGGGCCTATATATATTTAGACTATTTATTTTAAATTTGTTGTCCATATAATATGCAATGTGGGCTTCTTGGCCGATTTTAGGTTCTGTAGGATCCGTTTTCGATTCTTTTGGAATGGTTTCTCAGCTCGTTTTACTTATTTTTTTCCGTTATACTGAGATCATTTTCCCGTTCTTCCGGAACCATTTTTCGGTAAAAGTTATAGCTGTCATTTCGGAGATCATTACATCTCCTCATTAGACTTCTTTCTCTAGAGTTCAGCGGGAATCGAACCGGTATCACTCGATTTGCAAAGCTAGCACGCTAACCGGTGGGCTAAGGACACCCCGTAAACTATCGCTTCATTCATGAACGCAGTTAAGGACCTCATTTCCACTGGATAAAGCTATGGGAAAGTTAGCCTAAGCGGCTATCACCTGTTTAAAAATACATATAGAGGAGTGGCCCGGCGGTGAGAGACCCGTCTCGAATGAACACTCTATTTATATATATATATATATTTTCCAAATACGTATAATTTTCTTTATTTAAGTTTTTAGAGCCCACAGTTAAGTCTAAACACCTACCACTTTATGTAGGTAAACGATTTTGAATCCTTGAGGAAACTTGTCAGACACCTAGGGTTTAAATCTCCCAATTTGTCAAGGTCACTAAAGAAAGGGGACCACAGAAAGCGCAATCAGCTTCTCGATAATGCCGGGCAGTTAAAGAGAAGGTGGAGAACTGACTTCTCCTCCTCATAGGTCTTGCAACTTCTGCAGCATTTAGGGTAAGGCACACCATGCACAGTTTGCTTAGAAACCAGGCCAAGTTTGCTTTGAAATTCGACAGTTCGTAGTTTGCATCCATCTCTCGCTCGCGCGAGCATAGATAAATTCTCTTAAAATCAGCAATACGTTCTTTGTCCGGATCTGCTTGGTCGTAGCCATACGGTAACCCTCTCTGTCCCTATTAACGGGAACCCAAATAACGTTTAGACTGTTCTGCTTAACCATCTCGGCGACAGTCCAGCACATTTTTTGATTTAATTGTTACGGAATTCACAGCTTTAATTTCTGCCTGGCTGTCACTAAAAATGAACACCTCTATACCTTTTAAATCAGTTCTAAGTTCGTTTAGAGACTCCATTATGGATGAGACGCCAGCCTGGAAGACACTACAGTAGTTCGGTAGTCGAAATGAATGGCTCACCGTAGGGCTACGGAAGAAGAACCCCCCTCCCACTCCACCGCTCATATTTGGAGCATCTGTGAAAATTACTATACTACCGGGTGGAGTATAATAGTTTTCTGCCCATTCCTCTCTGCTTGGGATTTTCTTAATGAAGTTTCTATCCGGAACCAGAGTTTCAACACAACGCTCTGTATAATACGGAAGAAACCTATGTTTTTCCAGAATGCAGGAGTGACCCAACAATCCCGATTCCCATTGCTCTGTCTTTCTTAAGCGAAGTACAGTAACAGATACCATCTGCTGACCCACTAGATTTAGTGGTAGAAGATGCAAAAATACATTTAAAGCATCATTGGACGTGGTCCGGATTGCTCCGCTAATGCAGATCATACTAATCCTCTGTACATTGCTGAGCAAATTAAGATTTGAGGCCTTAATCAAAGCCGGACACCATACCATAATTCCATAAAGGAGAATTGGTCTAACCACCGCTGTGTAGATCCAGCGGCATATACTCGGGCTCAACCCCCACTTTTTACCATTGGCCCTCTTGCATGAATGACCCCTAAGGATTTCGCTTTATTCGTAAAGCTTAAGAGTCGGCTATTTTGTTTAGGCGGAGTCATTAGAGGTGTTTTGTATCCAGTTCTACTTTCTCCGAATTAGCGCAGAGGCCGCAGAGCGTTGACCATCATGATGCTTCGCGAAGTGCGCGCACAGAGTTTGCAGGAACTTGCCCTTATACACGATGGCTACGTCATCCGCATAAGCAACAACATTGGCGCTTTCCCATTTAATCTCTCGCAAGTGAGAGTTCACGGTTAAGTTCCAAATGAGTGGCGAGAACGTCCCACTCTGCGGTGTGCTCTTGGTCACATATCTTGAATCCGAATTGTCATCGACGTGTGCCGTGATCACCCTGCACAAGATCATTTGCCTTATAAACTTCACCAGAGAACTGTCCACCTCTAGTCCTCTTAAGGCCTCTGCTATGGCCTCTGAGTTTATATTGTTAAAAGATCACTCAATGTCTAGAAAGGCTACAAAACAGTAGTCCTTGTAACTGGAGGATTTTTCAATAAAATGGATGGGACTTTCTTCGAAATCGTGGATTTAAATACACGCAGAAACAAATTCATCGATGTAGTCGTTGTTTTTAAATTCTATTAGGCTTTTAGTGAGTAATCCACCGACCGAAAGAAAATGACGTAGGACCTTTCTTTATTAAGATAACCATATGTCTGTATATGTATATTTTTTAATTATTCTCTCCCCACAGCTTTTTAGAGATAATTTCATGCAAAATGAAAACATTTGCATAGGAACCAATCTGCTCAGCTCACCTCAGGCTATTAAAGAGTTACAATCGCTATGCAGAGGGATACTCAAGGATAACATCTCATTTGCTGCACGCAATCTTACGAATGGAGAGTTGGCTGCCATCGCTGTCAATCATCTAATGGTATTTATGTATACATACATACACATCCTTTCTTAAGTACTCCATATTCATACCTTCTATTTTCTCTTCATTGCAGTCTTCAAAGCTGCAAAATGCTTCATTGGGTGATGCCATGAACAACTTCCAATCGCCTGAAATGAAATGCATTTTTGGAGTTCTCCAACGCATTGAAAGTAGCGTTGACATCTACAGGGCTTTAGAAATCGATAGCGTAATAGAGATTGTCTTCCTATCCACCGACGCTAATTACGTGCAACGTGGACTAGCGAGTATTTTATCGGAGCACTCCATCAATTATGCGCGTCGTTTACTAAGTGGCATACTGGCGGAGGAAGATTTACCAGCGGCACATGTGCGGACGCTTAAACCCGGTGCAGTTTGCTCTATATTCACATCTCTATTCACACAACGCATTGGGCGCAAGTTTAATTTTGAGATTTTAAATAAAGTGCCATTTAGGGAATTTTCATTTGAGGGAAAAACATTCGCTGAGCGAATAGATCCCATACACGAGTTTGCGACATTTGAAGCGTTGCGATTGTGAGAGATGGCTGAGTGGAAAATGAGGCGGGGAAAGATGTTAAAAATACGCAAATACATACATACATACGTATAAGATTGTGTTGCTAACCAGGCGTTTATTGTGAATAGAATATCGCTTGAGATACGAGTATTTGAAAGCTCTGAAGTCATAAAACTAAACGTTCCGAAATAAAGGTCCTTGACAAATCTTGGGCGTGTAGAGTATTTTTTCTATGCTCACAGAAATATATACATAATATAAATTGTTTGCCGATTTTAATTATTAGGGATACAGTGGTGGTTAGCTGATATTCAGCTGGGTCTGGGACAATTGAACCCTTTGACACCCCCTCTCGTCGAACTGATTAGTGCCAGTGATCCTAATTTTATCCCTCTTCGTTTGAACGTGTACTTCCCAATATGCTATGGGATAAGTTCTCACGAAACCTGTTATGTAAAGGCACGTCAGCCATTGCGCGCCCTGATTACCTCAAGTTTTGTTGTGATGTACATACATACATCAACTAAGAGGATGGCTCAACTACCGTATTTTCGGGGAGAAACCCCAAATTTTTCCTGTCATGGACCTGTCTCTTTCTTTACAAAGCTATCTCGAAGTATGTGCACTTTTCAACTCATAGAGGGCGGCTTCACTAGAACGCCCCGCCCCATATACCCGTATGCATGTATGTATGCTGACACGATTGTAGTAGGTAGTTCAGTAAGACCGTAGACAACTACAGAAGAGAAACGACTGGCGCGCTCTGTTGGACTCTGCCGAAGGCACTTAGGCGGTTACAGCGGCAAACTAGAAGAACAAGAAGCTTTTGACTGCAAACGTACTGAGGCAGATTGGCATAAAGGATTTCGGAAAAAGTTTGTCTTGTGTATATTCTGAGCATCTCGGAATCTGCACTTTCGTCTTTCTAAATTTTGTAGTGTCTGTCAAGTGTAACTGTAAAGCAAATAAAGGTCTAGGTAGCGAAAGTTTCTGAAACTGCTGTGTCAAAGACCTGCCCAGTCAGTTCGTTGACGGTGTGCTTTAGCTTTCCGCCCAACGCGCTCAGTGAGGCTTTATAGCCTATGGTTAGAAGGCTGATCTCTTTGTAGAAATCGCGTATATGGCTGAGCAACCCAGCCAGTGGATTGGGCAGAGCACGCAATATTTTGCTTGCAAGCACCTCACCAGACGGTACATAACGTCGTTGGGCTGAATACCGCTCTTTAAGGCCGGATATTAGTTATCTGCTTTTTAGCATTTTAACGGGCTTTCGAAATGCGAAAGATTTCCTTTCGTTTGCAATACATTGCCCTCTACGCACAATTACTCAATATGTCCCCCTGCTACGCTACGTTTCTGAAGGCATAAATGTAGCTGCCTATTGTAGCTTAAAAAAAAATCGAATTTTAAGAAAACTTAATACTTAATCTCAGTTTTAATTTATTTTTTTGTGTTCGCTAGTTAAGTCTAAAAAAATGCTTACTTAAGTACAAATACGATTAAAACAACACCTCGTTTTCATTCCTCGTTGCTCTTGCTCATACATACTTACATACATACTATCGCATATTGACTATGCATGAACAGTTACTCCAAGAATTGATCCTATGTTGTTGATCAATTTGTATGCTGAAACAGTTTGAAAAGCGAAAAAACTTGGATAATGAACTCGACTAGTGTCACGGAAACGAATTCTACCTTAAAATCTTTTTAATGAAAGGGTTCACTAAAATTAGAACTTAAGATCAAATTATAGCAAACAAATATCATTTGATTCACGTCCACATAAATTCAATGAGGTATGCGAGGACTAAATAAGTGCTGAGATAAATATAATGCTTATCAAAATTATACGTCACCCGCATATTGACAAGTTTTGACTATAATTTTTTTTATTGTTTAATTTTAATTCTTTTTTTTTTAAATATATAGTTTATTCTTTAACAGAACCCGTATAAATCCAAGCTTCAAACTTTGTGCAATATTAAAAAAAAAAACAAGAAACTTAATAGGAAATTTCGAGCTTTTTAATTTGATTTCTTAGAAAGATTTTGAATATTTATGCAATTTTGTAACTCGTAAGTTTGTATAATTGTTCACATATTCCAACAAGTTTTATACTTTTTATGAAAAAAATTACAATTAAATAATAAAAAATATTAATAGTCAAAATTTTTCAATATGTGGGAGGCTTATAGTAATTGTGTACTATATAAAGTGAACTTTAAATTTAGCATTATCTTTGGCATAAAGAACTGTTTTTTAGCATATTTCGAAATTTACTTTCTCCTTTTTTTTGGGGTTGCTGGTCACGCTATGCGTAGTGCAAGCACCTATATACATACACTGGCTCTAAGGAATAATCGGACAAATTTGACGACTGCCGCCGAATTAATGTAAAACAATATTGGCCACTTTATAGGCACGCGTACCGAAGCTTTCAATAGCTCTCCGTACAATTGATATACGGTTGGCACAAAATAAAGGCTTTCGCTAGCCAACACTAATATAAAATCACAACAAAACAGAACAATTTGTTTGAAATTGAGTGTACAGATCCATTTTTCCGTTAGTTTTCTACTACAATAAAAAGCCAGGAAATAATCAATTTTACGCACAGAAAGCTACTTCATAAAAGAAAGTCGACAAAAAGCCGCCGACTGTCCACGATATTATCAAACGATGCCGAATTCTCGTCATCCATTTCCAAAGGTTTGGAGATAATTTGGTTTCGGAGTTGTGCCAACTCAGGTGAAATTTTTTCATTCAGAATTATCCTTCAGAACGTCAAATGATTTAAAAGTTTAGGTACTTTGTGAAAATGCCATTAGAAATGTTCAAAAACATAAGTGGCAATGTAGAATTGCAAGAAAGAAACCCTTCGCGCTTACCGCTTATAAAATGGAGCAGAAGGTTTTTTTTGTATTGTAAAACGCAAAAATTTGAATTACTTACTAAGTCGAGAATTGACAATTTTTGATTGATCTGATTTTTGGTGCTTTCAACAGTTTTCAAAGGCATCCAGTGCATACACAATTTTTATTAATAAATTTACATTGTCCTTAAAGGACTCTCTGCAAACTCCATCTCCGTGGGTGCGATGGACGAGCGTATTCGGGGCACAAGGCAAAAACTTAGTTTGAGCGAAAATAAAGTTTGTCCGATTATTCGCTGGATTCACTGTATGTATGCATGTACCTACATATGTACATACATACATACATGCATACCCATGTGCTCTCCAAATAGTTTTAATGGCAATTGTATGTATGCTCTGATATTTGTTTGGGTGAGTCGCGCTACACTCCCACCTAATGGTTGAGTCAGTTCAGCAAATTCATACTAGCGTTTGGGGATATAAAATATATTATAATTATATGTTAATTTTGAATCTGCTCAAAAATAAACACAACATTAATCCTCTTATACCAATGCCGAAAATATAACACCGTGCGACAAAATCCAAAAAATTTCAAAACACATGAAAAAATCAATATACATATCAATAAAATTGTTATTTTAATTATTATTTTTTTTTATACTAACCCAGTAAGGTCGAAATTTGTGTGTTGTAGTGCATATACTTATTAAGGATGGGTAACTTCAATATTCGAAGCTCCAAGATTCGATTTTCAATCGAATTTTAAACCCAAAATAACGAATTTTTTAAATCGAACTTTTGTGGTACTCAAATTCGTATGAAATTAAACTATCAACATCATACGCTGTTTTTTAGTTTCTACATGCACTTTGTTAATTTTTTTAAATTGATACTTTGCTACTTCAAAAGAATAGATGGCACATTTGGTAATTTTTATTATTTTTTTACGTCGCGGCCACTTTAATTTTTATTAACTATTCACCTTTTGTTTGGTTCTTGTTTTGTATTATTTGAGAAAACAGATTACTTATTTGTATATATTTTTGGTTGTAAAGAACTGTTGGGATAATTAATCACATTAATATACATAAGTTCAATTCAATCTCTTTTTCGATTTGAGTTATCATTCTTACAAAAAAAAAACTTTAAATTTTTAGCAAAATTCTTTTTTTTTTAAATCTAATAAATCGAATTTGTACCACCAAATTTCTAATCGCATTATCGAATGGTTGAACAATGTGCGAAACTTGGGAAACAACTTGTTTACCTTTTATTCTTTGATATTGGTCGGAAACTGGGCTCGAACCCAGGCCCTGCGAAATGGTAGCGGCCAATTTTCTATACCTGTTCATACTGGAGAACCAAACAATGAATTTTTTTAATAATTTTTTTAAGTAAACATATCTTTAAAATTTCAAAGTCCTTTAAAAAAAATCCTGACTTCAGAGAGAAAATCTAAAAACGTAGTTTTACGTTTTTTTCATTTAGAACGAGTTCACGTTCAATGTAAGAATTGAAGATTCATTGTGGATCAATGAATCACAATCGGGTTCCGTTGCACGCTGATCAGTGATCTTACGATCTTATCTTTAAGCTTGCTCTGAGCTAATATATTCTAAAATCTGTTCAAATTCTGTTAGTTCTGTAGCTCATCTTCGTGCACACATTACAGTTATTCTCTACGAAAAAAAAAATGTATCACTTTATTTTCACAACTTCAGCCCAGTGCAAATAATTTCTATGTCTTTCTATTCTTTACACCATTCAAAATATAGTTGATCAGCGGACTCTCACTTTTATCATAAGTAAACATACGTATGAAGCACAATTGCTTCATTATGAAAGCACTCTGCATCTAGTACACAGTAAATATATTCAAATAGGGGAATGCTCCCCACCAGGAAAAACATGAGTTAGTATTTAGTAAAATTTGAACCAGTTCGTTCGTTCGTTCGTAAATCGTCTATAGTCTAAAATAGACCTAACTGATGTATTTCCTTTTTATATTGCACTACAAATGCTTGCCATTTTGGGCCGAAACCTAGAAACTTCGCTCATTTTCTCTGCTGTTTTTCAAGGTTATGCCAGTTGTTCACACCAGGTGTGTAGACAGGTCTTTAAGCACTTGATTCTTCCATTGTACTCATGGGCGACTTGTTCTTATTATCCACCCATGGGTGCCGCATCGAAGGCTCTTTTCACTGGAGCATTATCATCCACGTTTACGACGTGCAAACTTGAATCTTAATGCCTTTCACAGCTCGTTATTGCGTCTCCGCTGGTAGCCGTTGTCCACGCGAGCAGGACCATAGATATTGCGTAGAATAGTTCTCTCGAAAGCCTCTCTCATTTTTCGACAGCAACCACGTTTCTTCGC